AATCCGGAGGTTTTCTTCTTTTCAGGATGTCAGGTCGCAGTAGGATCGCGAGGACAGTGAGATAAACGAATGCTTCCAATTAGTAATCGACATTTATGGACTTTTTGCGTCGCTGTTTTAATTGATTCGCAATCCTCTGTCGCAGCTACGGTTAATGTGTTTTTCTTCGCAATATAGTTTTGACATTTTTACGAGTGTAATATCGCATCCTTCTACAGATGACGTCTCTTTTAAAACTAGTTTCTCGTCCAATAATGGTACGTACTTTTAACGGTTGATTGTGAATCGTGGATAGTGTGGTAAATCATATTTTCACCTTGGTAGAATTGCAATAACAGAGAATACCTGAGCTACCTGATACATAATTTGTGGTAAACAAAAGAACTGACACTTTCAATTTTCATTTTAATATAATAATCACTGTATACACCCTCTGTATGTGATGTCAAAGGAATATTCTATTTGTCCTACAATGTTTATAACATAAATATATACACTGCCATTCATAAATATTAGGATATACATTATGTGTGTACAGAAAGTATCGTATTTCTTCGCCAAGGTTGATATCACATCTTAATACTACAACTAGACCTCTTAAACTCATTAGTAGAACAACCGAGTTCATTACCGAGTTGTAGCATTGATCGTGGAATTGATGTTAAACTTATTCACTTTTAATATTTGCAAATGCTGCTATACCAGTCGAGTCTGTTTTTATGCGGTAGATACGTTCTACGGAAAACCGCATATGAATAAATCGCACACAAAAAGACATAGCTTACTCAGTCCATACAGTAGCTCAATGTTAAGTGTTTCTTCACCATCTCATATGATCTATTATAATATCGTCCTTACGGCATTAATTTGTTGCGAGCGCAACGACACTCTTCGCGTTCGAATTAAATTCATTCGTGTCGCGAGGTCGAGTATCGTACATCCCAAATTTGCATGAAATATGCGCACCGCATTAAAAAGAGACTCGAATGTATTTGTCTACTTTTAACATACCACAGTTACAAAGAAAATAAGACTTCTGAGATGCACTTACCTAGAAAATGTCAATTTATGAAAATTAAAGATGAAAGTGCAATGAAAAAAGAGCAAAACTTAATTATTGCCCTAACTTATGAATGAAGTTATGAATGGATTATGAATGATCTAGTCGTAGTATTAAAGTGACGGCATATTAGTAAAACTATATGTGTTTCTTATATACTACAAGATTCCAAACTGAATAATTCTTTAGGTCTCGATAATTTTGTAATAACAGGTTAGACATACACATTCAACAAGTATCATAATACTTATGAACGGAAGTGTAAATTAGAAACTAGCGTTTGCAGACGTCGTTTTACATAATCTTGCATGTCATTTTATTGACCAGGATTGATTAATATTTTTTAATTCTCTTTGAAGTTTATAAATTTCTACAAAGCAACAATATGCAAATTTAAAAGACCCACATAAAATCTCAAACGTGAGAAGTGTACGTGTAGTTCACGGTATTCGATAAATTCCTATTCCCATTAATCTATTTCACGCATCCTTCTTGTTATTCCCTTATCCTGCGATGTATTAATTTCGCGACGATAAGAAAAAAAAATGCGATAATGAGAAAAATATGTTCTTCGTGGAACGAAGTTTACTCGAGTTATCACTCTTAACAGGTTTACACGAACGATTAAAAATTGAAAGTTACTCCAAAAAATAATAAATGTCCCCAGAAATTTTTATTTCTTCTTAATTGATAATAGCTGGAAATCACCTGCCGCAACTTGCACGCATTCATCTTTTAATGGAATCAATTTGCCATGGCGAGATTGTTTCTAAATAAAGATAAGATAGTTTGGTATGCTGCAAATGTAGAGGCGATCGATCAATCATTGCAAATTATAAATAGACAGGCTGAGTTTGTAATTTCGCTCGGGGTAGTCGAGGCCAATGGCTCGTTGCAAAATTATTATAAATTCTTCTCAACTACGCGTGATATATTACCATGCCGCCGACGGCATATAAATAAGATTGATGTAACTAATATTAATTGCCGACATTAATTGCTACAATCATTTTACCTGACGCGTGTAAACGGTGTGCAGGAAATTGAAATTGTTCATCTATATCAAACGTGTACGTTGTTTTTTGTCAAATTATCTCCTTTTGTTTGTTTCGTAAAAAGAGAATTGCAGAAGTTTGAAATCTACATTTACCAGAAATTTTTGCTGAAACCAAATTTTTGCTGCAGTATATTAGGTGTGAAATGTAAAATAAACAAAGCATTTAATGGAATTTTATTTAGAGAATCATTAAGTATGCATACTCTCTTATAATCATAGATAGAA